TAGTACTGTGTGAGTGGTACTGTGTGTGTGTGCTGTGTGTGTGCGTGCTGTGTGTGTGATGTGTGTGCAGTACTGTGTGCGTGTGTGCTGTGTGTGCGTGTGCTGTGTGTGCGTGTGCTGTGTGTGCGTGTGCTGTGTGTGTGCTATGTGTGTGTGCTGCGTGTGTGCTGTGTGTGTAGTACTGTGTGAGTGGTACTGTGTGTGTGTCTGCTGTGTGTGTGCTGTGTGTGTGCTGTGTGTGTGCTGTGTGTGTGCGTGCTGTGTGTGTGCGTGCTGTGTGTGTGATGTGTGTGTAGTACTGTGTGCGTGTGTGCTGTGTGTGCGTGTGCTGTGTGTGCGTGTGCTGTGTGTGTGCTGTGTGTGCGTGTGCTGTGTGTGTGCTGTGTGTGTGTGCTGCGTGTGTGCTGTGTGTGTGTAGTACTGTGTGAGTGCTACTGTGTGTGTGCTGTGTGTGTGCTGTGTATGAGTGGTACTGTGTGTGTGCTGTGTGTGTGCGCTGTGTGTGTGTAGTACTGTGTGTGTGTGCTGTATGAGTGGTACTGTGTGTGTGGGTCAGTGTGTGTGTGTCTGTGTTCGTGTGGGGAGCGGTGGTGCAGCGGTTAGCGCTACGCTGCGTTACGAACCCGGCGACCCGAGTTCGATTCCCGCTCACGGCCAACACCGCCAGTGACGATTATCTGAGCCGGTCCCAGGCCTCCCCCAGGTCGACTCAGCCTCAAATGAGTACCCGGTATGATGTGTAGTAAACATCGCTACTAGAGAGACAAAGGCGGCCGGGCGTGGTGTGGGCCACCGACCCCCTCGTGTACCGTGCCGGCCTTCATAGGCGCTCGCTCACAGCACTTGCCCCTACAGCCTGTCACAGGCTACACGGGGGATCTTTGCCTTTGTGGTATCCAACCACTGGGGGGGGGGGGGGATACAAAGGCGGTCCGGGCGAGGCTGCGGGCCCACTGCGACGACGCTGCGGCCTTCGGAGGCCGGAGCACTTGCCCCGCCCTGGCAGTGTGCTGTTACAAGGCTACACGGGTCGTCTTTGTCTTTGTCGCGTGTAACTGCGTGTGTCTGTGTGGGTGGGTGTGTGTCTGTGTGGGTGTCTGTGTGTGCGTGTGTCTGTGTTTGCGTGTGTGTATGTCTCTGTGTGTGTGCCCGTGTGTGCGTGTAACTGCGTGTGTCCGTGTGTCTGTGTGTTCTCTGTGTGCGTGTGTGTGTGCGTGTGTCTGTGCGTGTCTCTGTGTAACCGTGTCGGTATCACAGGTACAGTACTGTCCACAGCATTCCAGCGGAGGGCAGAGGAGCGACGCTCACAACAACGAGCGGAGCGGCCGGGCGGATAAAACTCATCAGGTTGGCAGAGTGGGGAGCACAGCTGCTGGTGGTGGTGCATCTACCGCTCATCTCAGTCACCTGCCGGTCATCTCAGTCACCTGCCGGTCATCTCAGTCACCTGCCGGTCATCTCAATCATCTACCGATCATCTCAGTCGACTCATGGGCACCCGCAGGGTCTGTCAGCAGAGAGCCCTCGACACTTCAACGTGGCGTCAAGGTGCACCTAGCCTGGCACAGGCGACGTGGTGACGTCACCGCCACTGAGTGGTGTGTGTGTGTCTCTGTGTGTCCGCTCGCTAAAGACACTTGCCCCAATAGTCTGTGAAGACTATCCGGGGGATCTTTGTCTCTTCCCCCGTGCATGTCCCTGTGCGTGTCTGTCCGTGTGTGCATCTGTCCTGTGTGTGTAGACGTCTCCTGTGTCTCTGTGTCTGTCTGTGTGTCTCTGTGTGTGTCTCTGTGTGTCTCTGTGTGTCTCTCTGTCTCTGTGTGTCTCTCTGTCTCTGTGTGTCTCTGTGTCTCTCTGTGTGTCTCTGTGTGTCTCTGTGTCTTTCTGTGTGTCTTTGTGTGTCTCTGTCTCTCTGAGTCTATCACTCGCTGTCCCCTATCTGTATATCTATGTCTCCCACGTGTCTCTCTGCGTCTCTATCACCACTGTGTGTCTCTGTGTGTCTCTATCTCTGCGTGTCTCTGTGTGTCTCTGTCTCTGTGTGTCTCTGTCTCTCTCTATCTCTGTGTCTCTGTGTGTCTATGTGTGTCTATCACTCGCTGTCCCCTATCTGTGTATCGATGTCTCCCACGTGTCTCTCTGTGTGTCTATCACCACTGTGTGTCTATCACCACTGTGTGTGTGTCTCTCTGTCTCTGTCTCCCACGTGTCTCGCTGTCTCTGTGTGTCTGTGTGTCTATCACCACTGTGTGTGTCTATCTCCACTGTATGCCTCCTATCTGTCCATGTCTCCCGCGTGTCTCTCCGCGTGTCTGTCTCCTGTACGACGCCACGCGTCTCTCTATCCACCCCCCTCTCTCTGCAGTGTCTGTCCGTGTCTCTGAGTCTCCCTCCTCGCGTGTACAACACTCTCTTCTCCTCTCTCCCCCTGTCTCTCCCCCTGTCTCTCCCCCTGTCTCTCCCCCTGTCTCTCCCCCTGTCTCTCCCCCTGTCTCTCCCCCTGTCCTCTCCCCCTGTCTCTCCCCCTGTCTCTCCCCCTGTCTCTCCCCCTGTCTCTCCCCCTGTCTCTCCCCCTGTCTCTCCCCCTGTCTCTCCCCCTGTCTCTCCCCCTGTCTCTCCCCCTGTCTCTCCCCCTGTCTCTCCCCCTGTCTCTCCCCCTGTCCTCTCCCCCTGTCTCTCCCCCTGTCTCTACCCGTGTCTCTCCCCGTGTCTCTTCTCCCCCTGTCTCTCCCCCTGTCTCTCCCCCTGTCTCTCTCCCCCTGTCTCTCCCCCTGTCTCTCCCCCTGTCTCTCCCCTGTCTCTCCCCCTGTCTCTCCCCCCTGTCTCTCCCCCTGTCTCTCCCCCTGTCTCTCCCCCTGTCTCTCCCCCTGTCTCCCCCCTGTCTCTCCCCCTGTCTCTCCCCCTGTCTCTCCCCTGTCTCCCCCCTGTCTCTCCCCCTGTCTCTCCCCCTGTCTCTCCCCCTGTCTCTCCCCCTGTCTCTCCCCCTGTCTCTCCCCCTGTCTCTCCCCCTGTCTCTCCCCCTGTCTCTCCCCCTGTCTCTCCCCCTGTCTCTCCCCCTGTCTCTCCCCCTGTCTCTCCCCCTGTCTCTCCCCCTGTCTCTCCCCTGTCTCTCCCCCTGTCTCTCCCCCCTGTCTCTCCCCCTGTCTCTCCCCCTGTCTCTCCCCCTGCTCTCCTCCCCCTGTCTCTCCCCTGTCTCTCCCCCTGTCTCTCCCCTGTCTCTCCCCCTGTCTCTCCCCCTGTCTCTCCCCTGTCTCTCCCCCTGTCTCTCCCCTGTCTCTTCCCCCTGTCTCTCCCCCTGTCTCTGCCCCATGTCTCTCCCCCTGTCTCTCCCCCTGTCTCTCCCCCTGTCTCTCCCCCTGTCTCTCCCCCTGTCTCTCCCCCTGTCTCTCCCCCTGTCTCTCCCCCTGTCTCTCCCCCTGTCTCTCCCCCTGTCTCTCCCCTGTCTCTCCCCCTGTCTCTCCCCTGTCTCTCCCCCTGTCTCTCCCCTGTCTCTCCCCCTGTCTCTCCCCCTGTCTCTCCCCCTGTCTCTGCCCCTGTCTCTCCCCCTGTCTCTCCCCCTGTCCTCTCCCCCTGTCTCTCCCCCTGTCTCTCCCCCTGTCTCTCCCCCTGTCTCTCCCCCTGTCTCTCCCCCTGTCTCTCTGTCCCCCTGTCTCTCCCCCTGTCTCTCCCCCTGTCTCTCCCCCTGTCTCTCCCCCTGTCTCTCCCCCTGTCTCTCCCCCTGTCTCTCCCCCTGTCTCTCCCCCTGTCTCTCCCCCTGTCTCTCCCCCTGTCTCTCCCCCTGTCTCTCCCCCTGTCTCTCCCCCTGTCTCTCCCCCTGTCTCTTCCCCCTGTCTCTCCCCCTGTCTCTCCCCCTGTCCTCTCCCCCTGTCTCTCCCCCTGTCTCTCCCCCTGTCCTCTCCCCCTGTCTCTCCCCCCTGTCTCTCCCCCTGTCTCTCCCCCTGTCTCTCCCCCTGTCTCTCCCCCTGTCTCTCCCCCTGTCTCTCCCCCTGTCTCTCCCCCTGTCTCTCCCCCGGCCTCTCTCCCTGTCTCTCCCCCTGTCCTCTCCCCCTGTCTCTCCCCCTGTCTCTCTCCCCCTGTCTCTCCCCTGTCTCTCCCCCTGTCCCTCCCTGTCTCTCCCCCTGTCTCTCTCCCCCCTGTCTCTCCCCCTGTCTCTCCCCCTGTTCTCTCTCCCCCTGTCTCTCCCCCTGTCTCTCCCCCTGTCTCTCCCCCTGTCTCTCCCCCTGTCTCTCCCCCTGTCCTCTCTCCCCCTGTCTCTCCCCCTGTCTCTCCCCCTGTCTCTCCTCTCCCCCCTGTCTCTCCCCCTGTCTCTCCCCCCTGTCTCTCCCCCTGTCTCTCCCCCTGTCTCTCTCTCCCCCTGTCTCTCTCTTCTCCCCCTGTCTCTCCCCCTGTCTCTCCCCCTGTCTCTCCCCCTGTCTCCTCCCCCTGTCTCTCCCCCTGTCTCTCCCCCTGTCTCTCCCCCTGTCTCTCCCCCTGTCTCTCCCCCCTGTCTCTCCCCCCTGTCTCTCCCCCTGTCTCTCCCCCTGTCTCTCCCCCTGTCTCTCCCCCTGTCTCTCCCCGTCTCTCCCCCTGTCTCTCCCCCTGTCTCTTCCCCCTGTCTCTCCCCCTGTCTCTCCCCCTGTCTCTCCCCCTGTCTCTCCCCCTGTCTCTCCCCCTGTCTCTCCCCCTGTCTCTCCCCCTGTCTCTCCCCCTGTCTCTCCCCCTGTCTCTCCCCCTGTCTCTCCCCCTGTCTCTTCCCCTGTCTCTCGCCGTGTCCCCACGTGTCTCCCCGTGTCTCATCCCTATCTCTCCCCCTGTCTCTCGCCGTGTCTCTCCCCCTGTCTCCCCGTGTCCCCCGTGCCCCCACGTGTCTCCCCATGTCTCCCCTCTCCTGTCTCTCGCCGTGTCTCCCCCTGTCTCTTGCCGTGTCTCTCAGCCGTGCCCCCCCCCCCTCCCACGTCGTCTCCCTCCCTGCCCCCCCCCCCCCCCCCCCGTGGCGTCGTCTCCCGGCACCCCGCACTTACCTGCGAGCTTGCGCGGCGCCTGCTGTTTCACGCGGGGCATGCTGCTGCTGCTGCCTGCCGCTCTGCCGCTCGAGACGCGTGTCCGAGCATAGCACGCGGGGCGCAGCAGAGGAGGGGAGCAGCCAGAGGAGGAGGAGGCGACGCCGCTTCGCCCGGTCTCCCCCCACAGGGGTCGGGGGTCTCTCCTCCTCCCTCTTCGTCCTCCTCGTCGTCGTCCTCGTCGTCTCGGCCCGCAGCTTCCTTCCTGCAGCGGCGCTCGAGTCGGCCCGGGGCGCGATGTCCGCCTCTCTCTCTCTGTGTGTCTCTGTCTGTCTGTGTCTCTCTCTGTCTCTGTGTCTCTCTCTCTGTGTCTTTGTGTCTCTGTCTGTGCCCGTGTGCTGTTGCCTGTCGCCCGCACACGTTGAGTGGAAGAGGCTCGCTCGGGTAGATCGCGGTGCAGTCGTTAGCCGCCCTCTCTCCCTTCTCTCTCTCCCTTCGTGTTCTCTCTCTCGACGCCGCTCCGCTTACCTCGCCCGCTCTATCGCCCCTCTCGCACGCTACGGCGTGGGGCCCCGAGCGGGAGGGAGGGGGGAGGCAGGGAGGGGGCAGGGAGGACGGGAGGCAGGGAGGGGAAAGAGGGAGGGGGGAGAGGGAGGGAGGGAGGGGGCAGGGAGGGGGGAGGGAGGGGCAGCAGCGCGCATTGGGCGCGGTGATCGCTGCCAGTCAACGGAGCCGAGTCAATCAGCCTCGACCACTCACACAGCCCCATCACTCCCACATCCACATCATCATTCCCACAGCCATCACTCCCATCCACATCACTCCCATATCACTCCCATCCACATCACTCCCATCCACATCATCACTCCCACATCACTCCCATCCACATCATCACTCCCACATCACTCCCATCCACATCATCACTCCCACATCACTCCCATCCACATCATCACTCCCACATCACTCCCATCCACATCATCACTCCCACATCACTCCCATCCACATCATCACTCCCACATCACTCCCATCCACATCATCACTCCCACATCACTCCCATCCACATCATCACTCCCACATCACTCCCATCCACATCATCACTCCCACATCACTCCCATCCACATCATCACTCCCACATCACTCCCATCCACATCATCACTCCCACATCACTCCCATCCACATCATCACTCCCACATCACTCCCATCCACATCACTCCCACATCACTCCCACCCACATCATCACTCTCACCCCCCCCCACGCGCTCACCAAGTGACACACACACACACGCGGAGTGCGAGGGGAGGTTCCCGCACTCCGCCTGCGCGGGAGAAGCGGCGAACCGATGGAGGCTGGCAGAGTGTAACGACGGGGGTAGGGGGGGTAGGGGGGTAGGGGGGGGTAGGGGGGTAGGGGGGGGTAGGGGGTGAGTAGGGGGGGGTAGGGGGGGTATGGGGGGTAGAGGGGGGGTAGGGGGGGCCAGCACCACGCCCGGCCGCCTTTGTATCTTGCGGTGGCGATGTTTGACACGGAGCATCGGGGTGCTTGTTTGAGGTTGGGGGTGCGCGAGGCCCCGGACCGCTTCAGGGGAACTCGTCACTGCGGTTGGGGAGCCGGGAGCGGGAATACAACTCGGGTGGTGCCTGTTGGGTGCGCGCGCAGCGGAGCGCTCGCCGCGACCACCAATTATCTCCCCCCCGCCCCCCCGATCCCTCTCTCAGGCGAGCGAGCACACACAGACACGCACACACAGACACACACACACAGGTACGCACAGACACAGGTACATACATACACACAGACACAGGTACGCACACACACAGACACACACACACAGACACGCACACACACACAGACACACACACAGACACGCACAGACACACAGACACACACAGACACGCACAGACACACACACACAGACACGCACACACAGGTACGCACAGACACACACACACATACACGCACAGACACACACACAGACACGCACACACAGGTACGCACAGACACACGCACACACAGACACACACAGACGCGCACAGACACACGCACACACAGACACACACAGACGCGCACAGACACGCACACACAGACACACAGACACGCAGAGGCACACACACGCACACACGCACAGGCACACACAGACACACCCACACACACACAGACACGCACGCACAGGCATCCAGACGGAGCAAACGAGCTCTGGAGTGACGCGTCCGGGTGGGTGGTGGTGGTGGCCGTGGTGATGTCCATCACCATCACTCGTGTGGGATGGTGCTTGTGATTGGGGGAGTTTTTTATGATAGTGATGGTGGTGGCAATGGGGAGCGGTGGTACAGCGGTTAGCGCCCTGCGATATGAACCCGGCGAACCGAGATCGATTTCCGCTCCCCTGAGTACCTGGTGAAGGTGTATATATCACTGGGGAGACAAAGGCGGCCGGGTGTGGTGCTGGCCACCTACCCTCTCGTGTGCCGTGCCGGCCTTCATCGGTGCTGCTCGCTAACAGCACTTGCCCCTACAGTCTATTGAGGCTATACGGGGGTTCTTTGTCTTTGGCGGTGACGGGGAGCGGTGGTGTATCGGTGGCGAACCAGGCAGAGACCCGAGGAGGGAGACTCAGAACCGACCGAGTTACACGCTGATGATCGTCACTTCATGGGTAATGGCAGTGATGGTGTTGGCGGTAAAGTTGGTGGTGGTGGTGGTGATGATGATGATTCACATTCGATGGTTATGAACCGATAGGCCATCCCGCCGCGGGCGTCTTGACTTCAAGATCGTGACTCCGCTACCGCCCCCACCACCCCAAGCTGTGAGAGCCCAACAAAGAAAAAAAACACAAATTCCTGCGACTCCGACATACGCCCAGCTCGTGACTTCCCTTGCTCCATTCAGGTGCGCGCCTCCCATCACCACCACCACTATCACCACCATCACCACCACTATCACCACTATCACCACCACCACCACTATCACCACCACCACTATCACCACCACCACCACCACTATCACCACCACCACTATCACCACCACCACCACTATCACCACTATCACCACCACCACTATCACCACCACCACTATCACCACCACCACTATCACCACCACCACCACTATCACCACCACCACTATCACCACCACCACTATCACCAGCTCCGTCTTCTCTCTCTCTCTCGAGAACCGGCGTCTTCTGGAGTGGGTGGGTGTCTGGTTCGTCACCGCCCTGCCTTCAGGAAGAATGCAGCATTCGTTAAAACAACGATGCCAGTTTCTCTCGATCCTCCCCACGCCGCCTTTGACCGCACCGCGGTATAATGGACCCACACACACACACCTACACACACACACCCTACACACACACACACACCTACACACACACACACCTACACACACACACACACCTACACACACACACCCACACACACACCCACACACACACCCACACACACACACCGACACACACACCCACACACCCACACACACACACCCTCACACACACACACCCACACACACACCCCACAGACCCACACACACACACCCACACACACACCCACACACACACCCACACACACACCCTCACACACACACACCCCCACAGACCCACACACACACACACGTGTGGGTACTCATCATCACCTCTTCCAAGGCGTCTTCGCCCACGTGCACGAGCACCCTCGAGGTCAGCGGTGGCTCTTGGCCTGGGGGGCACCACGCATCTCCTGGGGGGGGGCACCACGCATCCCCTGGGGGGGGGGCACCACTCATCTCCTGGGGGGGGCACCACGCATCTCCTGGGGGGGGGCACCACTCATCTCCTGGGGGGGGCACCACGCATCCCCTGGGGGGGGGGGGCACCACTCATCTCCTGGGGGGGGCACCACTCATCCCCTGAGGGGGGGCACCACTCATCTCCTGGGGGGGGCACCACTCATCCCCTGAGGGGGGGCACCACTCATCTCCTGGGGGGGGGGCACCACGCATCTCCTGGGGGGGGGCACCACGCATCCCCTGGGGGGGGGGGCACCACTCATCTCCTGGGGGGGGGGGCACCACGCATCCCCTGAGGGGGGGGGCACCACTCATCTCCTGGGGGGGGGGCATCACACATCTCCTGGGGGGGGGGGCACCACTCATCTCCTGAGGGGGGGGGCATCACGCATCTCCTGGGGGGGGGGCACCACTCATCTCCTGAGGGGGGGGGCATCACGCATCTCCTGGGGGGGGGGCACCACGCATCCCCTGAGGGGGGGGCACCACGCATCTCCTGGGGGGGGGCACCACTCATCTCCTGGGGGGGGGGGCACCACTCATCTCCTGGGGGGGGGCACTACGCATTCCCTGGGGGGGGGCACCACGCATCTCCTGGGGGGGGGCACCACGCATCTCCTGGGGGGGGGGGCATCACGCATCTCCTGGGGGGGGCACCACGCATCCCCTGGGGGGGGGCACCACGCATCCCCTGGGGGGGGGGCATCACGCATCTCCTGGGGGGGGGGCACCACGCATCCCCTGGGGGGGGGGGCATCACGCATCTCCTGGGGGGGGGGGCACCACGCATCCCCTGGGGGGGGGGGCACCACGCATCCCCTGGGGGGGGGGCATCACGCATCTCCTGGGGGGGGGCACCACGCATCCCCTGGGGGGGGGGCACCACGCATCCCCTGGGGGGGGGGCACCACGCATCCCCTGGGGGGGGGGCATCACGCATCTCCTGGGGGGGGCACCACGCATCCCCTGGGGGGGGGGCATCACGCATCCCCTGGGGGGGGGGCACCACGCATCCCCTGGGGGGGGGCACCACGCATCCCCTGGGGGGGGGGGGCACCACGCATCCCCTGGGGGGGGGGCACCACGCATCCCCTGGGGGGGGGGCACCACGCATCCCCTGGGGGGGGGGGCATCACGCATCCCCTGGGGGGGGGGGCATCACGCATCTCCTGGGGGGGGGCACCACGCATCCCCTGGGGGGGGGGCATCACGCATCTCCTGGGGGGGGGGGGCATCACGCATCCCCTGGGGGGGGGGCATCACGCATCTCCTGGGGGGGGGCATCACGCATCTCCTGGGGGGGGGGGCACCACGCATCCCCTGGGGGGGGGGCACCACGCATCCCCTGGGGGGGGGCATCACGCATCCCCTGGGGGGGGGGCATCACGCATCTCCTGGGGGGGGGGCATCACGCATCTCCTGGGGGGGGGCACCACGCATCCCCTGGGGGGGGGGCACCACGCATCCCCTGGGGGGGGGGCACCACGCATCCCCTGGGGGGGGCACCACGCATCCCCTGGGGGGGGGCACCACGCATCCCCTGGGGGGGGGGGCACCACGCATCCCCTGGGGGGGGGGCACCACGCATCCCCTGGGGGGGGGGGCACCACGCATCCCCTGGGGGGGGGGCACCACGCACCCCCGGGGGGGGGGGGCATCACGCATCTCCTGGGGGGGGGCACCACGCATCCCCTGGGGGGGGGGCATCACGCATCTCCTGGGGGGGGGGGGCATCACGCATCCCCTGGGGGGGGGGCATCACGCATCTCCTGGGGGGGGGCATCACGCATCTCCTGGGGGGGGGGGCACCACGCATCCCCTGGGGGGGGGGCACCACGCATCCCCTGGGGGGGGGCATCACGC